TCTCTCTCTCTCTCTCTCTCTCTCTCTCTCTCTCTCTCTCAAACCCTAGAAAAAGATCTCTCTTTTTTATGCAATGCTCTATGTCTTCTTGTTGTCTTTCTTCAAATATGATCTTTTATATAGGTCTTGATAGAGTAGGAAAGAGATATTCTAATCAGGGTTCCAATAGGAAATCAAATCAATTAACAAACGGCTGAGATTAAATATGAAATCTATCAAGACGTGTCATAACCATCGATAGTGGGTCACAATCATCAACGGTTCATTAATGATCATCAGTGGTTGACTGTTGTCCATCGATTGTGCATATTCTAATTTTCTGGATTTCTCCGATTATTGATTGTAGTCCATCTATGATCCTTGCGATCATCGATGGTCGACTGTAAACCATCGGTAGTCCAATTTTTAGTTTCTATTTTTCCCGATTCTTTTTATAGTCCATCGATGACTTGCTTGACCATGGATAGTGCCTCTTGGCTATCGATGGTTCAAAGGCTAAAATCCACTTTTGTATTGATTTTTAGATTGTTTTGAACCGCAACTTCTTCATATCAGTTTATATTTTAAATATATCATCTCACAAATATATCAACAGTAAATGAGAATTTGTTATTAATCAAACAAGAGATATTACACAAACAACATTCTAACATATATCAGTATTATTTTATCCATCTGCAAACATATAGAATCATTTCTTTCTATCAAAGGAAATTATTGACACCACAACTTGGGGGAAGTTAGTGACGATGATCTAGGGTTACCTACTGACCGTACCCACTACATCTAAAACCAGTAGATTGGTTATGTCATTGATAGCAATTAGGGTAGGCCCTCTGCTCGATTAGGTTCAAGTCGGAAAAAGATTGTTTAAATGATGAAAGTTTTTTTTTCCTTTTTCTGTTCATATTTATTCAGCATTTATTTATTTCTTATTTTTTTTTGATAATCTTTTTTATTTTGACAAAAAATTGACATAACTTGCATAGTAGTCGTGTAGAGTTGTGTACGTACATAGGTAGTTATATAAAAGGATGTCCCTGAAACTGAAATTTGATTAAACTTAGTGCAAAGATTTTAAGATTAATTGGATTACTAGTCGCTTTATTTAGCTCATAATTAGACATTAATATCTATGTTTTAGTTATTTGGATGATCAGTCATGTAGTTAAATACTAATTAGATTGTTAGTTACTTCTAATACTTTTCACAGTTTGAGTTGTATATGTATGTTCATTTATTTTTAAACAATACAACATACTCAATATGTCACAATTTTATATTTTCAAGAATAAAATACCAATTCAATATAATTGCACAATGCAAGTTGCATGATATGTCGCAAATTTCATTTCTATAAGCGATTAAAATATTACATATAGGAATAAATCATGTCAAATGATCAAGACTTTTCTATGTCACGTTAGCAAAATTTTATTATGTTAATTAGCGGAAAATATTAGAAGTGATCAACTATCCAATTAGCATTTAATTACATGATCAATTATCTAAGCAATCAAATCATAAGTATAAACATCTACTTAGGAGATATAAATAGTGATCATTGCTCCAATTAACCCAAAATTTTCTAAATTGATTATGCGTGATAAGATATAAATATTTGCTGCAAAATATTGAGTCTATTCCATCATTTAATTTCTCTGTTACAATAAAAAATTATTATTCTATTGAAATATTAGGATAGTATAATCGTTTTTGGAAACAGTCGGAGAAACTCGCATTTACTTTGTATATATTTAAAAAAACAAAAAGAAGTTAGAGAATTGTAGTAGAATAAAAATTACTAATTAATCCAGCTATATATCCTAATCAGTATATAACTACCAGAGATAGGGGTAGGCACTACATCAATACATCTCCAGTTAGGATCTATTTGTTTGCACGAAAGTAATTGTGAAGTAGCTGAAGTAAAAAAAGTAGAGGTTACTTCTGCTACTTCCAAACAAAAAAGTATGTTTGGTTCTCTGAAAAATTTAATTCCAATACTTTTCTAAATGCTTATGTGGCGCCTATGTGTCATCCTTACTTCAAAAATATTTTTTCAATGCTCAATACTCAGAAGTAGCTCGAAAGTAGTTGAAATGCATATTAATAAGGAAATAAATAATTTTTTTATTAATATTTTTTTATTAGTTACTTCTAACAACTTTTCATTGATAAAATTACTTTCTAGTAATATTTTCAAATGTTATCCAAACAAAAAAGTAAATAAAAAGGAAGAAGTTCTACTTCCACTATATTTAAAAATATATGAAACAAACAAAAAAATGTTATTTCCATTACTTCCTACTTTATAGTTTTGAAAGTTATTTTTATAACCTATTTTTTACTTCTAATACTTTTTTTATCCAAACAGTGTTTTATCTCGTAATAAGCATGGTAAAAATTATTATTTATAATCTACAACAACCCGTGATGATCTCTGTTTCATTGTGTGGAGTGTCTCATGCTTGCATAACATAAGATATTAAAATACAAACTTTAAGAACAACATAAGATATTAAAATACATATTTTTAATTTTGAGGTATGTAAATGTTGCAAAAAAAATAAGTGTGGATATATAAATGCAAATAGGAGAAACAATAGGGTATTTAGGTCCTAACTAGCCTTTGCATGTTCGCCTTCCTAAAAGGTTATACTTGTAATTCAACCATCTCATCCGTCCCATTTATCATATCATATCATACTTCTTTTAAAAGTATGAGTTCTTCAAAAACTTTCATTGGTCAATTTTACCCCTAAGCCTTTTTAATATTAACATTCTTATCCTAATTATAATTGGTTATCAACTAAAGTCATTAAATCAAAATTAAACTCCTAAATTAAAGCTCTCTCCATTTAAAACTAATTAATAAAAATTGATCTAATTAGAATTGGTTGACAACTAAAGAGTATAAAGAAGTTAAACTCCTAAATTAAAGCTCTCTCCATTCAAAACCAATTAATAATAAATTGATCTAATTAGCATCGTAAACATAATATGCATTGCACGTGTAAATATTAACCAATTGATTAATAGCAAATTATGGAATTAATTAATTATTAATAAAAATTAATTGATTAAAGTATTTCTATAGTAGTCCCCCAAACCTTTCATATTTTGAAATTAGTCCATCAAAGCATTGAAATTATTATTAGGAAACTCAATTCTTAAGTTATTTGAAATTAGTCATTCAAATCAATGATATAATTAGCAATTAGAGGAAATAATTTCCCTCTAATTGTTTTTTTTCCCTCTTGATTGGAGAAGCTGATATCAAAATAACTTAAGAATTGCGGTTGTAATAGCTATTTTAATGATTTGATGAATTAATATTAAAATAATAAGAATTGAAAAACCTAATAGTTCAATGTGGTTATTTGTGCAAACTAATGGAGAGATTTTCTTAAATGATGATAGGTTTTCTTATTCTACAGTCTTTAGGAATTAAGACAAAAGATTTTTTCCCTTTTCTTTTTTTACTTCACAGGATATTTATGTCATCTGTTATTATTAGATTTGAGGCATTGAAGAAATTGATTGCTATATGAGCGAATAATCTTTTCGAATAATGTGTAACTTACATTGCTCATGGTTTAAAAGCGAATAATCTTTTCCAATAATTTGTAGCTTACATTGCTTATGGCCACGACGTCACATAAAATGAAAGCTAAAGATACATAAATGTAAGTATTAAGAAAGTACACAGATAATATTACATTATCAAGTGAAGATTTAAACGAAACACTTTTACAACCAAGTTATACTAAAGAAATAAACCGAACAAATAACCACGTGCAATGCATATGTATCTCTCCTAGGAAACTAAAAACACGTGTGTTTTCCTATAGTAATTCCTTAATCCATGTATTTTAAAACCTTTGGTCATCGAAATTTCTGTTAGGTTTTCACTTTTCAGTCAAGAGTAAACAGTAACGAAATATAAGACTTAATAGAAATTTCACTGATTTGAGGCAATCATTTAAAAATGTTTAGTGTTTGAGGGACTAACAGCTAAAAAAAATTTAAATAATAATAGAAAAAACCTAAACACAATAGAGACCATCTAGTAGAAATTTCAGTGACTCGAGAGACTTAGGGCATGTTCGTTTGTTTTCTAAAAACCAAGAAATGGAAATGGAAATGGTGAAAATCTCAAAACTCACAATTTCCTCCATTTCCATCCCTAAAACTCACCCACAACATCCAATAAAATATTATTTCCATCCAACAACTCATCCACATCATCTAATAAAATATGATTTTTATCTAACCACTCATCCATCACATCTAATAAAATATTATTTACATCTAATAAAATATTATTTTCATCTAACAACTCATCCATCACATCTAATAAAATATTATTTTCATCCAAACATCACTCAACTCATCTCTTCTCATCATTTCAAATCACTCACATCATCCAATAAAATATTATAACAATTCACCTCATCTCATTAACATTTCATTTCTTCATTTTCATCCCAAAAAGTTATGAAAACACTTTTCTTAATCTTTCTTCACATCACCCAATAATACAATGACAACTCATCTCATCTCATTTCATTTCTTATTTTTAAGAATGAACCGAACAAAAGAAAACAAGAAACTACAGGAAATAGGTTTCTTATAATTCGTTTCCTTATTTTTTTTCGTCAACCGAACACTCCAAAACTAGTTTTCTTAAAAAATCACAAACATCATCCAATAATAAGGTGACAACTAACATCATTTCAATTTTATTTCTTTGATTTCCTTCTTTTTTAGCCAACCAAACACTCCAAAAACAATTCTTCATTTTAATAGTTTTCCATTTCTATGATTTCACTCTTTTTTTTAGGCAAACGAACAGGCCCTTATTTGCAATGATCCAAAGGAGTAACTTTAAAATATATTAAATTTATGAGGGAGTAAAATCTAAAAACCTTAAAGAACAACTGGGCCAGCAACAGCACCAATAAAATGGGGGAAAAAAGACTCCTTTCTCTCTCCGCCACTCGCCAAAAAAACACAAACCAGATTCTCCACTCCCAAGCCTCAGAGCTGTGTCTCTCTCTCTCCCCCCTCCGATCCCCAAAACCCCTTTTAAAACCCATCCTCTCTCTCTTTCTCTCTCGCTCTCGATCTCTCGATGGCCAAAACCTCAATTGTCTCTCTCGTCATCCTCTTTCTCTCTCTAGCCTCCTCCGACGACTCCGTCCACTCACTCCTCCGCGATCACGGCCTCCCCGCGGGCCTCCTCCCCAAAACGGTCCACTCCTTCTCCCTCGAACCGTCCACAGGCCTCCTCGCGGTCCAGCTCCACGGCCCATGCATAGCCCAGTACGAGCGAAGCCCGGTCCGATTCGATCAGGAAATCAACGCCAACTTGACCTTTGGGAGCTTGAAGGGGGTCAAGGGCCTGACCCAGGAGGAGCTTTTTCTGTGGCTGCCGATCAAGGAGATTTTGGTGACGGATCCCAAGTCTGGGGTTATCTTGTTTGATATTGGGATGGCTCACAAGCAGCTCTCGGTCTCGATCTTTGAGAATCCGCCGGATTGTAAGGAGGATGGAGGTGAGATTTGATTCGGGTATTTTTTTTTTATTAGGGGGTTTGGTTGATTGAGTTTGGATGGCGGTAAGATTGGATTTTGATTGAGGGGTTTGGGTGATTGGGATGGATTTGATCTGGGTTTTGAGTTGATTAGGGGTTTCTGGTGGTTAGGATTGGTTCTTTTTTTTTCTAATATAGGGTTGTTGGATTAATTGAAGTTGATGGTGGCAAGGTCGGATTTTGATGGGCCGGTTTTATTTGCGGGATTGGATTTGATCTGGGTTATGAATTGAATTGATTTTGATCTTGTTGAAGTTTTGATTTTAGGGTTGATGGGTGATTTTAGACTGTAGATGTTGGAGATTGTCAATGCCGGAGTCTGGATTTGGGTCTTCTGTTTGGTGTCAACTTTGGGCTAGGTTTAATTTGATTAGGAGGTGAACTAATTTAGTCGGACTTTTTGTTGGACGCCACGGTTTGATTACGGTTTTACCTGAACTTTATTTTAGTTTGCATCTTTGAGATAATTTTATGATTAGATTTCTCATGTATTTGCTTCATTTGCTACCTTTTAGGTGGATTTTCATTTTTTTCACTTAATCGAGTCTTCTTCTTTAATTAATTTGAGAAGATTTTTAGCCTGAAGTAGGCATCCTTTTGCTTGTCTACGTGTGGTTGCGTTGGATGCATTCTCAACAAATTTGAACATGTTCTTTTCTTGGTTGAGAGTGAGGAATGTGATCCGAGCATAATCAAAGCTGGTCTTTTTTGAGTAAGATGGAAGTACCTTAGTTATATTTTTCGGTTAGATTATAACTTAGAAGTTCAATACGACTAAGGAACGAAACTCGTTTAAAAAAACTAAATTGCGGGATTGTACCTTGCAGTAGTAAGTTTTAATTAATCTCTATATTTCTAATTGGAAGTGGACTGTTTAACTCCTGTCATTATTAGTGTGGGTTCATTAAGCTGTGATCTTAACCATTTTGAATATTCATTAAGGAATTTCATTTTACGTGAGTTCGTTGAGCTTCTATGTTTCCTTGAGATGCTTTCTCGGTTTCTCTATTGCCAAGACAAGGCATTTATCATTTTTGTAGCAATTTATGTTCTCATTTGTACCACTTGTACTGTTGTAACTGACCGTATTGTATCATTTGTATCTCAGGACCTGAACTGAGAACCGCAGCTGGATTCCAGGAGCAAAGATAGAGAGCAAAAGGACTGATGCTCCACAATTTTCACGCTTTCCTCAAGTGTGCCCTTTTCTTTTATTTTCTTCTTATTATATTTTTAGTTCATATTAATGGGTAACTATGGTTTCTTATATAAATGTATGTCCATAAGAGCGTGTAAATTTTGTCTCTTCCGGCATAATATTAATATACGTCTATGGGTGATGGTGTTTGAAGTTTGTAGATCTTGGTTCTTCATTTGGAGTGGAGTGCTGTGTATGATGTGTTTGCTTTAACTTGAAGTTTCGGAGTAATGTACTTAAAATGAAAATATTGTTGCGTGTGCTTTTGAGTGGCAAGTTGTAGAATGTGGGTTTTGTTTGAATCCTTGCCAGGCTGTCACCGATCCTTGAATGTTAAAATTCTTGTAGCACTCTGGTCGTATTGCTAAGTCAGTGAAATTAGTGGTGGCTCCTCTGGATTATTGTATAAATAGTCTTTAATTTGTAGTTTTGTTGGATAATTAAAGTCTACAAAACAACAAAATTAAAGTGAGCATGCAAAAATGTGAATGTATTTACGTCAATAAATAAGACTAAAAATGAATGTAATCTGTAGGTAGCTTGATGTTTATAGAGGGATAAAATGAGAGAAAATTGATTGAGATGATTTGATATGTGTGGAATAAAGGTAATGAAGTACGTGACAATAGGATAAGAAGTTCACATAATAGAATTTAATTAGAAATAATTAAGAAGAATATAATTTTGGTTAACTTAAAAAAACAGCTGGAAGACTATGATTTATGTAGCGTTCTTGAACTTTTTGTACAAAGACTTCGTTATTGTTGTATCAAAGTAGTATAAGACTTGTATACAATTAACATTACTTTTTGAAAATAAAAAGTTGCTTGGCCTAGTTTTCATTTTCTTTCTTAGTGGACAAATATGTAATCGTCGCAGTTACAGTAGTTATGGAAGGATATAGTTGATGTCTCTAGGGCAGGGCACAAAATAGAGCTTCTTATTAAAGAGCCAATCGTCTAATAATCCTAGGCTAGTATTCTTTTCCCCTTATTCCTAAATGCGGATATCAAGCGAATTTGCAATTTTCAGACTAACCTTTTTTACCTCTGAAAGTTCTTTTTTTTTCTCCATATGGATTGTGGTATATTTTGTGACTTCATATAGCCACAAGTCACATCTTTGTCAACTCCTTGAAGATTCTCTTCTTCCTCACTTAGAACTCAGGAAAAGCAAAAGGATTAAACATGTTCATGTTGATAGTTATATGTAGCATGAAAAAAAAAATCTCTGGAAGTATCATAATAAGGAACTACAACAAGCAATATATGGACTTGTTATGCCACAAAATCATCTTTTAAAAAACAACCAATTAGGAGACGCCATGTGTCTAATCAAAAAGTCAGTAACTAAGCTGAACGGACTAAACGACCAAGCATCTTAAATTGGAGTTTAGGTTTGAATTGATAGATGTTGAAGAAGAAGGAGCGGCTCTATTGACGAGAGAGGAAGAGAGTGTGAAGGAGGATCTTCTTGGGTAAAGGGGTTGAAGAAATTTGAATTGAGGGTGGTTGAGGAAGGATAATATAGAATTAATAACTTTGAGAAGTCAGGAGGACGAAATAAACCTTCCCCAAAAATATTACAATTTGTGAGAATTCTAACAACTGACGTGAAAAAAGAATCTTTATCGCTAAAAATTCTAAGTTAAAATGGCAGGATGATGCTAGAGCCCAAATCAATACCATGTTAGAAAATAGGGTAAATTTATAATACCAATCTGATAGTTTAGCCCTTTTTCCGTACTGACCATAGTGTTGAAGTTAATTCTAATTCTAAAAGGATTTGAGTTAGTTATCTCTAGGAATTATAGTCATACTAGAATTCTATTATGAAACACTTTGTAAAGCATTTAAATAGAAATTCATGCATCCTTCTATCTAAGAGAAAAAAGAGAAAAAAAACAGAGATCAAAAAGTACGAGTACTGTAGCTACAGTAACAAAGAGTTAAAAAAGATTTTTTTTTTATTTGCTTCTCCCACTAAATCTCTCCTCATATATATTATACTTCTATTTGCTTTGACGTTGATTGCTGTAACAATAATATCAGAGACATGAACATTCTAAATGGGACGACGTCGTCTTCTATTCCTATATAGGATGAGAAGAATTATCACCGGTGGATAGTGCAGATGAAGGTGTTGTTTTAATATCAAGATATATTGGGTGTCGTAAAGAACGGAGTTGCCGATCTCACAGATAGCATAAGTGAAACCGAGAAGAAAGCCCACGATGAGATCAATAAGAAGGATCGAAAGGCATTATTCTACATCCATCAACCAATTAGGAGACGCCATGTGTCTAATCAAAAAGTCAGTAACTAAGCTGAACGGACTAAACGACCAAGCATCTTAAATTGGAGTTTAGGTTTGAATTGATAGATGTTGAAGAAGAAGGAGCGGCTCTATTGACGAGAGAGGAAGAGAGTGTGAAGGAGGATCTTCTTGGGTAAAGGGGTTGAAGAAATTTGAATTGAGGGTGGTTGAGGAAGGATAATATAGAATTAATAACTTTGAGAAGTCAGGAGGACGAAATAAACCTTCCCCAAAAATATTACAATTTGTGAGAATTCTAACAACTGACGTGAAAAAAGAATCTTTATCGCTAAAAATTCTAAGTTAAAATGGCAGGATGATGCTAGAGCCCAAATCAATACCATGTTAGAAAATAGGGTAAATTTATAATACCAATCTGATAGTTTAGCCCTTTTTCCGTACTGACCATAGTGTTGAAGTTAATTCTAATTCTAAAAGGATTTGAGTTAGTTATCTCTAGGAATTATAGTCATACTAGAATTCTATTATGAAACACTTTGTAAAGCATTTAAATAGAAATTCATGCATCCTTCTATCTAAGAGAAAAAAGAGAAAAAAAACAGAGATCAAAAAGTACGAGTACTGTAGCTACAGTAACAAAGAGTTAAAAAAGATTTTTTTTTTATTTGCTTCTCCCACTAAATCTCTCCTCATATATATTATACTTCTATTTGCTTTGACGTTGATTGCTGTAACAATAATATCAGAGACATGAACATTCTAAATGGGACGACGTCGTCTTCTATTCCTATATAGGATGAGAAGAATTATCACCGGTGGATAGTGCAGATGAAGGTGTTGTTTTAATATCAAGATATATTGGGTGTCGTAAAGAACGGAGTTGCCGATCTCACAGATAGCATAAGTGAAACCGAGAAGAAAGCCCACGATGAGATCAATAAGAATGATTGAAAGGCATTATTTTACATCCATCAATGAGTGAATGATTCAATTTTTGAGAAGATCGAAGGAGTAACTACAACAAAGCAAGCGTCAGATATATTTGAGACATCATACCATAGAATTGAGAAGGTGAAAAAAGTTAGGCTTCAAACATTAAGGTGTCAATTTAAAATTTTGTAGATGGAACTCATTGAAAGTGTTGCAGATTACATGACTCGAGTACTTGCTTGGACAAATCAAATAAAAACAAACGGGGAGAAGGTTGCAGATTTAGCAATTGTGGAAAAGATATTGCGATATGTTATAGCAAAATATAATCATATCGTGGTGGCATTCGAAGAATTGAAGGATTTGTCCAAGATGATAGTTGATGAGTTGATGGGTAACTTACAAGTTCACGAGCAACGCATGAACAAGAGGTCAATCGAGAAGCCTTTGAAAAAACTTTTCAAAGTCAAGCTTTTATAAAAAATAACAAAGGAGCGTAGTACGAAAGAGACCAGCGAGGAGGAAATTCTCGTGGCAGAGGACGAGGATATGGGAACTACAACAACCGAGGACGCAGATACTACAATAGTCAAGGACGTCACCTTTATAACAACAATCAAAGAGATGATGACAATCAGAGAAGTAATTATCAATCAAATTCAAATTATCGAGGTCGAGATTGAGGTCAAGGTCGAGGCTTTGGACGTGGTAGAGGAAATTTTAATAAATCAAACAGTGAATGTTACATATATCACAAATATGGCCATTATACAAAGGAGTGTAAGTACCAGGATAATTCCCAATCCGGAGAAGAAGTTTGATTTGCACAATAAAGAGGTGATGAAGACAATCACAATTTATTGATGGTCACGACAGCCAGTGAAGAATCAAACTACAACACATGGTTTCTTGACACTGAGTGTTCTAATCACATGCGCGGAAAGAAGGTGTTCGTGGACCTGGACGAGTCGATGTGGTCCAAAGTCAAGTTTGCCGATGATAATACTATACCAGTGATGGGAAAAAGAGCGAGTTCTCATCAAGCTGAAGAATGAAGACCACAAGTTTATATCCAATGTCTTCTATGTGCCAAATATGAAGAACAATTTACTCAGTATGGACCAACTTCTTGAAAATAGGTATGATCTGCGCTTCTCTGGTAATCAACTCCTAATCTTTGATAAAAGAGGTGTATTAATTCTTAAAGCCCCTATGATGAATAATCACATGTTTCGAGTTGACATCCAAAATGATGTTTATCATTGCTTCAATGCTATTATGAAAGATGAGTCTTGGATATGGCATCCTCGGTTTGGACATCTAAATTTTCACAGTCTGAAGTTGCTTGCTCAAAGAAATTTGGTGAGAGGCTTGCCCGTTGTAAATCATCCCGATCAGTTGTGTGACGGTTGTATTCTTGGAAACCAACATAGATCATCCTTTGGTATTAAAAATACTTGGTGTACAAAGAAGCCTCTTGAGCTTGTTCATTCAGATGTGTGCGGTCCTGTGAACACTATATCCAATGACAATAATTGATACTTTCTTAATTTTATTGATGATTTCACAAGAAAAATACGGGTCTACTTTTTGTAGCAAAAATTTAAGGTCATTGATTATTTTATGAGCTTTAAAGCCCTAGTTGAGAAGGAAAGCAGTTTTTTATCAAGGTGCTACGAATAGATGGAAGAGGTGAATATACTTCTAATGAATTCAATAAGTATTATATAGAATAAGGAATAAAGCATGATGTCACTTTTCCCTTCACACCTCAACATAACAGCGTCGCTGAAAGGAAAAACCGGATGATACTTAACATGGTGAGAAGCATGCTTAAGGCCAAAGGTATGCTCAATTGTTTTTGGGTTGAAGCTGTCTCATGCACTGTATACTTGTCAAATAGGTCACCAACAAAGCGCGTTGATAGTCTTACTCCTTGTAGGCAAATAAAATTACCTTTATCCCTGACAAAGAAATTTAGAAGTTCACCTACAGGATTGGATTTTGCCTGA